TGCAACATCCTGATTTTCATCACATTTGTTCCTCTCGGTGCTTTGTTTTTCAAGCCTCATTCACGGGATTGAATATGATATTGCCCCACGTAACATATCTGATATAATACCCACTTATGTCACTGCTTCTGTTAGCCATATGCCATTAAAATGTACAATTTCGCGATTTGGACGACGGTTGCTGGCACATCAATTCTAAGATCAGAAAGTCACAGTAGCGAATGTAATTTAATTATTCAAATGACTCATGGACTTTATATTGTGCTCTCATCTCGTTCATGTTCCATTTGCCCTGCTTCATTTTTGAGCAATCCAGGCAGTCGCTTTAGCATGGAATCCACCAAGTTGGCTGCCAAACAGAATTTGCAGGTTTCCTCTAATACACCGCACACCCTTACCACTGGCGACCAATGCCAAGGTAGTTAACTTATCCCTGTTTCAGATAGAAGGAAATGTTTTCGATTAAATTAAAATCTCAGCTGTTGCGCGGTAATAGAACGGATTCGACATTAACATCGACCCCTATAGAAACTGCATAAACGTGAAAAAATAATATTTATTTAGGTCTAACCGTTTTCTGCCACCAACCTCAAGCGAGCTGATGTACCACACTTTATGTGTGAAAAGTATGACTTCCGCGAATGCATATTGGGAGTGACAGTTATCAAAAACCTCCCTTATCAGTGCAAGAAATTTTGCTATATCCATATTGGCATGTGCAGGAGACCAACAACAATGCGCTCAATATTCACTTCTCTTCCAACTGGCTAGGCGGNTTGACAGGTAAAAATATATTCATTAGAAAACTAGTTCAGTAGACCGGCTTTCACAATATGCTGAATTACTCGTTGGCCACCAATGAGATAAACTCATTGCTAAATGGGCGGGCGACGCGATTTGAATTTGTCGGTAAAATCAATGCATGCTCTGCTTTGTTAGGCGTTCAATGACGGCTTTATGTCACGTGGTCTCAGCTGCATTTTAAATTGGGCCACCATTTTCCAATCGAAAGAGTGGGGGAAAAACAGCTAATCAGCCCGGACTATCCTCCAGATCGGTTTTGTGCAACTCTTCTCTGCTGCGATGAAATACAACCATCATCTTACTTTGATATGGCTGGNTTGAATATGTTATAAATTGGACTTATGTTCAAATTGAAGCACTTCCACAAGACGCTAACTGAATCATCAGATTCATGTGCCTCTCGATTAAGTTACCCCTCGGCTTCAATTATATGCCAAAACCTTTTGGAAGTTTCATCCGGTTCGGGCATGGTGACACTTCAGGACGCTTATTCAACGAGCCGCACACCTCAAGGTCAACTTTCGAAGATCAACTTGTGTGTTTCTTGGACTATGTTTTCAGTTCTTCAAGTACTGGAGATAATGCGTGAGTAGTTTGTAGCCTAATAATTCAGCAATTTATTTAGGTTAAAATGTTTTCAATAATTTGCTTATTTACTGTGAGGTGAATGAAAAGAGATAAGCAATTTGCTATACGTGTGCTGAACTTAATAAACAATCTCATGGGACAGGAATCAACTTTTAAAAAGAATAAATTCCCATGCTGCTTTGCCTAAAATATTTTCAAAATCAGAGCTGTAACTTTTGAACTACTACAAATTTTATCGCGACACTCAAGGTCACGCAAATTGAAATGGTGACAGAAAAGAACTAAGAACATAGATGTTGGGATAAAGACAGTAATCAATACACTTAACTCATAGCCATCTATATATAAGTATGATATTGCAAACTGAAATGGATTTCCAAAATGGATGTGCTGTTTTACGAGTTTGGTCAAAACCTGTATATGGATCAATGATAAAATGGCACTGGTACAGTAAAACAAACGGATGCCACTCTCCACGGCTCTTCCTCGCAAAATACTACTGGCCATACTCAAACCAAAATCGATCGTGACCGTAGTGCAGTTATTGTCACCAGACTCAGATTCTAAACACATCTCCTGAGGCAATGACAATCATGCTTCATTCAATGCTTCTTTAATTTCTTAAAAGCAAAATTCATTCTGCTCTCCACTTATCTTTTGATTCCATTCGACTGCGTTCCGTTGACTGTTTCCCTTCTTGGATTTCCTACAACTTCTTTATGCTGATCGTCTTTTAAATCTTTCATACTGCGCTCAAGGTTGTTTTTTTTATTCCGCGTCAGAAGCTTCCTTGACCCAGCTCATCTTCTCTTAGTTAACAAAGCTCAAATACGTCCTGCTCTTGAATACGTGTGGAGTGGGCTTTATTCTTTTTCCCTCCTACATCTTGTCCAAAGAAAGGCCACCCGGTTGATCGATGATTCTTGCATAACCTCCAATCTGCATTTACTAGCTAATCGTCTGACAGTTACTTCACCGTCTCTGCTCTACCGTTACCGCATTGGTTTTTGTTCTTTGGATATTGATTGCTTCCGCAATTCTTCTCTTTTTAACTTTGATCCTCCCATTACGTGCATAGGCGTCCAGTCATCCTTATCAGATTTCGGTCCTGTACTCTAGTTTTCTATTTTGATATTTTGTTTTTCAATTTCTCATGGAGCTGTTGTGTTAAACTTACACAAAACTAACACTGACAGCCATATTAATAAAATGTAATTTTATTGCAGTAGTAACCGGAAGTATAACAGTATAACCGAGATAAGATGCGATGAAAAGCTGCTGCACGCTAATTCTCAAACGTTTTCGCCTATTCGATCAGCTTTGCCGTTGTGGCTGTCTACGCCGCATGATGACCGAAACCGAGGGATGGATGGTCTTATTGCACACAAGCGTACAGCCGCACAGCCGGTCGACAAGCCGGAAAAATCAAGATAGGGAACTAAGCTGTTGTTCAGATTAACTCGACCGTGCAGCTGGAATGGCAACTTGCTGACGGGCGAGTGGATGGCGTGTAACGGCTAACTAAGTTCGTCCAGTGTTCTTCTAACACGCTTATATACGTGCTTCTAGGTTAACAAGGAGAATGAATTCAGTGNAAATGCAGTTGTCCTGACACATTTGAGGTCAAGGTGTGTGTGTGTGTGTGTGTGTGTGTGTGTGTGTGTGTGTGTGCATAATCCGTCTGTATTTATGAGTCAGACTGGATGTTTTAAGAGCTTAAGG